CTTAAAATATGTATTTATTATAAATTTGAATCATATAAAATAGATAGACATTCATTTACTGTATTGTACGAACTGAAATATTAAAATTAAGTTTAAATTATATAGATAAAAAGTTTTGTTTTTATTTTTTCTCTTAATTTTTATGATTATATGTAAATTAAAAATATATATCAAAGTTTAAAAAAACTAATATATAGTTTAAACTTAGATGCAAAAGAAATCCTAAACTTTTATGTAATTAGCATATTAAAATTGGTAATTTAATTAGAAGTATTTAAAAAATAAATAGACTTTAAAAAGTAATTAACATATTATTATAAGGTAATTAACATAATATTTGATCTTTAAAAAAGCTTAACTTTTTTTTAGAGCTTTTTTATTAAAAATACTTGGCGCAACTTTTACTTTTATTAAAAGGAAAAACAAGCTTTAAAAAAAAGTCAGATTAAACACACCTTGATAACATATTTAGTGGCCTAAAAAGGGATGAAGATCTATCTCACATTTTGAAGTGGTCTTCTTTGAGAAAAATAACAACACAAACCATTTTTACAATCTCTATGTTTATTTTTTTAGTTTTTTTTGTGTTTTTTCATCCATTTTAATTTTCATCATGTTCGTAGATAGCTATATTCACTCATGTTGGAATTGGGATTGATGTAGCTAAACATATAGTCCAAGATTTTTTTTAAAAATTTGATTATTAAGTTTGTTATTTAGTTATTTATTTTTCTTTTATGCTTAACGTTTAGTTTAACTTGATAATTTGTAATACAATTATTTTTTTGGATAAATGTTATTGAAAAATGCTTTAGAAACTGTGAATTAAAAAAAAACTTAATAAAACTTATAATTATGAATAATGTAAGGTTTATTAACAAATTTTCTAACCTTTTATCTTAATTCAAGTCCTTAGGTTAACCATGTAATAGATAAAGGACATAGACTTTCACATTTGAGAAATTAGGGTTTACAAAATCTTATGCGTTATTGGAAAATTTTAAATTAAAATCCATTATAATTGATTGTCTAGTACACCTGAGAACCATTGAGTCAAACTCCAATAACTTTAATCATATTAACTTAAATATATTTTTCCTGCGATGCTAATCAATTAAAAATTTCTAAACATATTGATTTATTGTTTTTATTTAAATTAAGTTCTTGTTTTAAAATCTTACAACAAAACTAATATATCATTTGTAGCGACAGACATATTTCAATTTAATTAATCATGTGCTATGTTAATTATCTTAAAAAGATGATATTATTGTTATTATTATCATATATACTATTTAAATGATTTAGCATGCTCGTGAAAATCTCTTAGATCATTTACAATAATGATTCTTAAATAGTTAAATACAATAATCGATTCTTATAAATTTAGAATATGACATGTAATAGCTTCTTTTATATATGAATTTTTTTAGTTATTGGAAAATTTCAAATTAAAATTCATTATAATCAATTGTTGGTACATGTGAGAACCATTAAGTTAAATTTCAATATATTTAATTATATTATTTTAAATATTTTGTTTATGCAATATTAATCAATTGAAAAATTCTAAAAATATTGATTTATTATTTTTATTTAAATTGAGTTCTTATTTTAAAATCTTACAACAAAACTAATAAATCATTTGTAACTTATATAGGATAGAGTTGAATTTAATTAATCGTGTTATGTTAAATTTCTTAAAAAAGACTAAACGATTTAGTTAGATCATCTTTAATAATGGTTCTTTAATAAACTTAACATATTTTTATTTTTAATAAATTTAATATTAAAAATATTAAAATTTAAATATATATTAAAGATATATTTTGACAAATTCATTTATTAATGAATATCATAAATTTAAATATATTATTTAAATTTAGTAATATGAATGAAAAAATATAAATATATAAAAAGTTGTGTGTAAAGAAATGTTACTTAAGAGAATATAAAATACATATTACAAAATATTAATTAAAAATTATATAAAAATTATTAAATTTCTATAAAATCTTTTGAAAAAATCTTAAAAATTATTAAACTTGTACAAAATCTTTTAAAATTTATAAGACGTTTTTGTGTTTAAAAAAAATCTTATAAAATCTTCATCTAATAAACTTCTTAATACAAAAGTAATAAGTAATTGAAGCGCACATTGTTTAGGAAGAAATAATACAAATTGTAAAGGAAGCAGCCAAGAAACTGACATTTAAAAGGTCTTTTCAGATGACCAAGACATACATAAACTGATAAAATGATGAAAGTCCCCTACCAAGTTGAGAGATATACTATCATAGAAGAAAAGGTTAGTCCCCACCATTACGATAAAGATGCAACTTGTAAGAAATAACCGGATTTCGTGCTTCACCTTCCTCATGTTTGCATCAATCATATCCATAACTTCCTTTCTTACTCTCATAATTATCCAAATCTTTCTGATGAGACGCGCCCTCATACATTATCTTGGATATTTAATTTAATTATTAAAAAATAATTCATGAAAAACTTATTAATTACAAACACTCATGCACTCCAACTCTCAACTCTGATAATTAAAATCTAATGTAAATGTGCTGGCATGAGAGGAAATAACAAAAGTATGAAGGATATTCAACTGTTGTGCAAGCTAGGATATACATATAGGGTTAACTTTTTTCATGTTTGGCCGAATGTAATTATATAATCCATATGAGAGGAAACTGAATGGGTCATTCTCAACTCATGTTGTCTTATTATCTGAACTGAATGCCTCATCTGATCAAGGTAACTCACAATATATACAACGTTAATTCAGTTTAAATTAAGAGTTAATCGTATCCAACATAATTAAGGGTTTTTCATCACTTTTAACTGTTAACAGAGCAGTGTATATTATAATTTGCAAGGTTTTTTAGGCATTTGAATTTGCTCCTTCTGAATAAATTTCAGGTACATTATATTCGATCAATTTCCTAACTGTATTATATTATAACATTATTATTTCTACTTCAACGTTATTATTAACCATTTTATAATGAGATATTAAAGTTGCATCATTATAAAACATTAATAAATCATTTTATAACTCAAAAGACTAAAATATTAATATTTTAAAAAAAATATTTTATTAAGTCTTTATTATATATAACCCTTTTTTTTTGCACACGGTCTGACTGTATATCCTCCCTCATCTCTGGATTATATGGATCCTCTTTTGTAATGGCTGAAGGTTCACTTTAGTTGAACATTGCTTCACTTGACTGTCAGATTAGAGATGAAAGAGTTTTTATAACTCTAGAACCATATCCGTTGAAATGCCCAGTTTTAGAAAGAGAGAAAAGTAAATTTAAATTATACAATTATATAAAAATTTCATGTAATATCCCTTTAAAAAGTCTCATTTTATTTGTATAAATCTAATAGTTTCTTATATATATACTTGATTACTTGATATTAGAACACAAATAAAATTCAAATCATCAAAAGTGGAGCTTGAATATGCTTTAATTAATTAATAGTTCTAAAAGTTTAATTGTTAAGTATTTGTTATAACTTTTTTATTATAAAAGAATCACTTTAAAAAAAAAACTAAAATTTTTTCCATACTTTTGTTTAAACTTTTCAAAAATCGGAAGAAAAACAACAAACTAAAGATTCGATTAAAATCAAAAACTATTTTAAATAAATAAAATCAACTCCTCATTAAAATATAAATTTATTTTTATAATTGTACACAAACATAAATTAACTTTTGTATATGATCATCACCAGGTTATTTTACATTATAATCAATTTTTCTTTTAATCTATCATACTGACCGTTAATCAGAAATCATTTTTAAAATGATTTTTAAGCTACATTATAAAACTGAATAAACTTATAACAGCCAGTAATTGAATAACAATAATGTTCTTATATTTAAATTCAATATTATTTAATTCTAATTGTCATTAAAAGCTATATGTTTTTAATTCTAAATCTAATTGTCATTGAATGTTATATATATATATATATATATATATTTATATATATATATATATAATATGATCGATTTTCGTTTGAGTTATATTAAATTATTAATTATGTGACATTTTTATAATATATTTTCACCTTATTTTTTCCCCCATATATCTCTTTGTCACATCAAATATTGTATCCCTGACTTCTCCCACTTGTCTTTTTGTATATATCTCTCTTTGAGATTTTGTTTTACAGAATATAATTTCACTTTCGGTTTTCATATATAAAAGTTTTATAACTTGGAAAAATATGTTGAAGCAGTGACAGAAATGAATGCACCAGTATTTATCTATAACTGTATGCCAAAATAAACAAATATTTAGCAAGGCAATATTCATACTACCGAAGGAAAAAAGATAAGATATTCTATATATAGGAATATCTAACTTTCAATTTAAGCCATCAATTTTGCTTTGTTCTTTATCAGCAAAACTTTTGAAACAAACTGTCATTGAAACAATGTGAATTTGATGTTGGGGAGGTCATTATTACTATTTGTTTTCAAAGTTTATGCATGTGTTGTTTGATAACTCTTAGGTAAGATTTAGTTTAGATTTTAAACTTGGTTTTAACATCTTCAACATGAAATTAATACCCTGTCACTTTTGCATCAAGTAAAATCCCGTTGTTTGTATGTATATATCTACAAAAATATTTTTTAATTTTTTTTTACTCTATAAAAATATTCTTTAATTTAATATCTGTATATTTTAACAATGCCAAATATGAAATAAGGAAAAAAAAAATTTCTTTCTAATTACTATACATCTGTCAATGAATTTTGTTAATATCTGAATAACATTTTCAAATAAATAATTTTTATACATACATTAAATCACTGAACAACACTTTCAATCAATATCAATTTTATAAGATAAGATTTATCACAAATCAGCAATATTCTTGATTAAAATATTAATTGAGAAGAAAGACGTTAGTTAGGTATGCAAAGGTTTTCTCCATCCAAAAACTACTGCTCTAGTATTAGAATCATTAAATGTACTAAATAAGTGGTCATTGAAGTATTAATTTTCATGAGTTGGGTCCCCATTTCTCTATCCACACAAGCTCACTCTTTATTTTTTTTGGATTTTTGACATCAAATTCATTTCCAACCACAAAAAAAAAATCAATCAATTCTTCCAACTAGTTCCGATACTCACTTATATCCCCACAAGAGTAAAGAACAAAACCGCCGGAGCCGCTGTACTGCTACTCTTCCGAGCAAGAAGATTAATTAAAGTACAAAACTTATTTTTTTGGTTCATGTAGATGATGCTGCATAAGTTTTATCTTTAATTAAAAGCAAGGTAGCAATCGTACATTTCTAAAGCAGCTTAAACTCCCATCACAACCCAAATCCCATCCTTTGCCCTAATTTCATTTTCATGAGGAGCAATTAAAAAATGATGAAAATTAATTAATCAGAAAAGGTAATTATGATTATATATAAACAACAATATTATATTATAAGTTACAAATTTTAGAAAATGTTGAAAATAAAAAGCAATTTATGATGATCTCTGTATCTAAGGAGATAGAGAGAGAATTACAGTGAAGATAATAAGTAAAGTGCATGAACTCACCAGTGATTGAGATGGGGAGATTCGTAGAATAGAGTCGCTGGAAGCAAGGCGGAAATGTTGTCTATCATCTGCGGAGTGAAAACGTCGTCGTCGTCGAAAGGGTCAATGGAAGAGGGAAGCGGTTGACCCTGGAAATCGGTGGGATCCGGTGGGGGAGGGAGCACGCAGCTATCGTGGGGGCCGGGGGAGGAGCGGTGAAGTTCTCCGGCGGCGTGGAAGCGGGCGGGGTCGGGCGGCGACTCGGCGTCCTGGCCGGTGAGCTCTTGCACCAAGGCGCGGAACTCGGCGGCGCTGGTGTTGATCTTCATGGGGTTGGATATGTAGACAACCTTAACGGGGTGAGGCTTTTTCTTGGATTTGGTTTTTTTGGTGGGTGTTCGTTGTTGCACGCTGTTGCTTCGCGTCACTGAGTTGGATGTGCTCATGCTCTCCATTTGCTAACGGTGTCGTACTAGTCTGTTAGAGAAGATGATAATAATGCATAGAGAAGAATAAAGAGTCTTTGGGGTTGGGAGAGGAAAACGAAAGGGAGTGATTTTATGGCTTGGAACAAATGGAAAGTTAATAAGAAAGATAAAGAGGGTGATGATGGTGATCACACTCCCAGCCGACACTAGGCGCGTGTGTCTTTCGTTTTTTCTTTTTCTTTTTCTTTTTTTCTCACAGCACACAATTAAGATCACAATCCATTTAATCCACAGATTTGAATCTAATTCAATTTTTTAAAATAAATATGTAAAATAAAGATCGATCCCTATTCATATATACTATTTTAGTTATATTTCTAATTATGTTGATAACTAAACATTTAAGCCTAAAATTTGTAAGACTAAGACATGTGAGTAGTATGATAATGAGTGAATATATAACTTTAATACTATTTTAAAATGTGGTTTATGAGTTTAAATCAATCTTACAAAATTATTTAGAAGATGAGAGTTGTCTCTCACTTATGTATTATTTATTTACCTTATTTCTATCTTTGTGAGACTTAAATTCTTTATAATACACTACCTCACGTTCAACATAGTTGAATTTGGTATGTAAATAAATGATAAATCATCCTTTTTAATAATTTAAGATAGGTGAAATTTGAGTTTTTCTCAATGTACTTCCTCACATCCAATATTATTAGACTTGGTGCATGTAACAATATTGGGTAACCTTTTTAAAATGGATCAATGTTAAACCAATTTTAGTGGGTTAAATAATTAGGTTAAAATTCACATTATAGAATGGTATTAAAATATTAAAATATCATATTATAAATGTAGAAAGTCTAATAAAGATGAGTGTAAAGAGGTATATTGGAATAAATCCAAATTTCGCTTATCTTAAAACATTTAAAAGATCGGCCCATCATTTGTAAATAAATATTTATTTTATATTGACTAACAAACAATTTATCAATCCAATATGTAATTTATATAATAATGACTTTTTAGGTTTTACCTTTAACAATTAACTACATGTACAAGTATTTGAGATTTAGTGTTTTGTTTTCATTGAATATTTATATGTAAAAGTAATTTTTTGTGTTACCCACAACTACCATGTTTATATGAACAAAATATCCATAAATACAAGTCATTTTCTTTGTAGCGTAAGTTGCCTTACTCAATTAAGATTTCCCAATACAATAGTGGAATTCAAAATCTTAATTATTTGTTTAAGGGACCAAAGTTCATTACTACTTCAAACTAACCATTTATTTATCAAAATATTAAATTTTAAACTTGATGAAGATTTAATAATGTATTTTAATTTGATTTATTCATTAATATATAAAATTTAAACATTATTATGATTTAGTATTAAAATTATGAAATTAAAATTTGAGCAAAAATTTGTTTATGTATATTGATAAAAAGATTCTTTTAATTTGATGTAATATTTTTATTTTAATTGTATTAAATAAGAAAAATCATTATTTTTATAATCATACAACTAAAAGTATTTTTTTAATATATATATATATATATATATATATATATATATATATATATATATACAACACTCTATGTATAAAAAT